TCAATGTACGAATTTGATTTGCAACATTTAACAAAGATAATCTAAAAATGAAGAAAAAAATTATCATTTGATCATATGATTTGTTACTCTAACCAAGATGCCAAACAAGTTTCTCCATTAATTACGAGCCAAAGATTTGATAACAAACCATGTGATACAAAGGGGTAAGACGTAAGAAAGGGCACATGCATGCATCCATTAGAAAAATAAAACAAAATAAATTTGTTGATGGTGATACGAGTTTATTTTTATTTTTTTTTTCAGAAAATATTTATAATTATTACTCGAAAATTCCATAATTTAAAAGAATCTATTATTTACTTGCTTTTATATATCTATCTATTAATATATAATAAGAATTAACTTAATTCATTTTTAGAAAATCTTTCCCGCCAAATTCATTAATTACACTCTAAAAATAGTAACTTAACACACTTTCATTAATTATTGCTTAATTATATGTCTCTGTTTTTCTTCTTTTATGATATGGAATGAAAATCCTAATCAATCTCCTATTTTTGTCTCCATATCAATCACAGAGATAAAAAAAACTGAAAAAAATGGTAACAAGATTTTTAATTTTCGATACAATAACAAGAATTATTTTGAAGTTACATATATTCGTTTTTGTTTAAAATATTAGATAGATTTATTTTTTATGAACCCAAATATATAGATTCCATAAATATTAATATTGTAATGTAGTGAGATATTCTACACGTTGTGAACTTATATTTCCGAAATCTCATATAATAACTAAAAATTAATTATATATATATATATATATATATATATATATTAGTATTTACGAGAATCTCGAACACACTCTGCCATCCAATTGTCAATCGTTAGGAAAACAATTTCTCATACTATTAGCAGAAAAACAAAACGATTATGGACCAACCAATGTGCTTGATCACCATTTATGAACATACAAAAAATTGAAAAATCCATAGTAAGTGCCAACAAAAAAAAAATGGACCAACCTTTCGTTCTTATCAAAGATGTTGAAAGTACAAAGAGAGTTATGTTGCAACTTCTGAAAATCCGAAAAGAATTAGAGGAAGAAGATGTTTATGCAATTTGCAACTACAAAGTGGAAAGAAATGTTAGTAAATATGGATCTGCAATTATCAAATACAAAATAATTTTGCATAGAAAAACAAAAATCATAGCCAACCCAACCTATTTCTCTATTTTCCGTTTTGATTTTTGAAATTTTGCAACATTTTGTGATGTGGAAAATGTCGATGAGTCTTCACTTTTCGATAAGAATAACTTTCGAATATATTCATTATCATATCTAACAATGATTAAATAAATATTTTTTATTTCTTATGAATGTAGATGTCATTGGGTTGGTAGTAGAAATTCAACAAATGCAATTCAATCAAGTTGCACGACAACATACCCAAATGATTGACTTTACTCTTCTCGATTTGGAGTAATGTTATATACATTTAAGAAAAATTTATTAGTTTGAAATTATTATTTTATCTATTATAGGGACATTACTATTAGTTTTGAGAGTCGTTATAAAGGCAAAGGCTATCCATGAGTTCTCATAATGTAGCTTAGTAGAGCAAGATTGTGTGGTGGTAGTATTAAAAAATTAAAGTGTTATAAATTTTGATATTTTTTAATTTTGCTTTTTTATATATAATAATCTGGTGGAGCAAGGCTGTGGGTTGATTGTATTAAAAACCAATAATGTTATGTACAAAGAGGTTTTTAATAATGTTTAACTTTTTTATGACGAATATTTTAGATCAAGTGACAAATGCTCTACGTATTATACATTATTGATTAATAACCTTTAATTTATAAATTTTACCAAAACAAATACAGCTCGTGCATTGCACGGGTACATACTAGTTTTTAATTAATTAACAATCATGCTTAATCATAAATATTTTATTTCTTGTACCTTATATTTGTAATATTTACCTAATTTGATAGCACAAGACATCCATAAGACGGTATGAATTTTTTTCGGTCTATTACTTGTCTGCATTTATTGATGAAGTTGCCTATCAATGATAGAATGGACTATCTTTGGACTGCACTAACTTACATGAGATATATATAATATAGGGAAATTCTACAGTCCCGTTACGGAACCATTCCGTCGGGGTTTGTAACCGTTAGATCATCATGTAACCGTCGGGGATAGTTGATCTAACGGTTACAAACCCAACGGAATGGTTCCGTAACGGGACCGTAGCATTTCCATATAATATATGATATAGTATATTATTTTAAATTGGTTTTCATATTTAAAAAGAAAAAAAAATATCTATATATAATTTCACCGAAACAAATGTGAGGTCTTCATCTTTTATACGTTTATTTTCTTGCATTTATTTTTCTTTACAACATTGCTATAACTAAAGTGTTTAATGGCACTGCAAGAAAATCATGAACTTCCAATCAAAATATATTTCAACAAAACTCTAAGGATAATTTCAATGATACAGTGAAATTCAACGAAAATTCTAATAAAAATATTATGTTGGAATGAGTGTTTCATTAGAATTTTCATTGAATTTGGTAGTTTAACCGTATATTTTCCAACAAATGAAATATGTGTGAAATTAAAAATTTCAACGAAAATTTTTATGGTAATAAATGTGGATACTAATTTTACAATCATGTTCACTTCCTCTACTTTCTTTTTATGAATTGACAAATGGGTGTACCCTAACATATTTTTTCTATTGTCTTTTTAAAAAAACGACGACCCGGCCTGGACACAATTCGGCCCGGTCAACTGAACCATTGACCCAACACGAATATAGTTCCGTGTTGGGTCCGGGTCATTGTTTTCGAGCCCGTCGATACGACCTGGCCCGAGTTTTGGTCATGTCTGATAATTTGGCACATCCATCTTCCGTTGGATCATTCAAACCGTTGGATCTGATGAGGAGAAGAACTCTTCCTCACCTCAACCTAATCCATTATCCACCCCCCCTCTCTCCACCGTCTCTCTCTCCACCCAAGCCGCTCGCCGCCGTCTCATCACCGCTTTCTATACCTCCCATCGTAAACTCGCCAAGTCCAGTTAACAGCGATCATCGCCGATCGCAGCCAAAGCATCGTATCGATATACGAGGTATCTCTCAATTTATTTACTTCATTTTTGCGTTAATATAATTTGGGTGTAGTAGCTAACCATATTTTTAGATGGATTGTGTTATTCACACTCCTCTTTCGATCTAGCTCTTGCTCTCGTCCAATTGTTATTTGATTGGCTGATGTGCTAACATTATTCGTAATAACACACTGATCTGCTGTACAAATTGTGCGGTTTCCAAATTCAATCACTTTGTTCCTTGGGTTGTAAAAAGACTCGATTTTTAATAGTTTCAGACAGGCGCTGAACCACCACAGCCCTATCCATGGCCGCCTGCGGCTCAATCCGTGTAGCCGCTGCCCAAATGACCTCCACCAATGACGTCGCGGCCAACTTATCCACCTGCAGCCGCCTCGTCGACGAGGCCGTCTCCGCCGGAGCAAAGCTCCTCTGCCTCCCGGAGAACTTCTCCTACGTCGGACTGAAATCCGGCGACAGCCTCGCCGTAGCCGAGCCCCTCGACGGGCCCACGATGAGAAAATATCGCTCCCTGGCCCAAAACTCCGGCATCTGGCTCTCACTCGGCGGGTTCCAAGAGACGGCCCACGACTCGCCCCACCTGCTCCGCAACACCCACGTGCTCGTCGATGATCGTGGCGAAATCCGGAGCACTTACCGGAAAATGCACCTTTTCGACGTGGACGTGCCAGGTGGCGCCGTGTACAAGGAGAGCAACTTCACGGAGCCCGGCCGGGAAGTCGTGGCTGCCGAAAGCCCGTTTGGCCGGCTGGGCCTCACCGTTTGCTATGATCTCAGGTTTCCCGAGCTTTACCAGCAGCTGAGATTCGGGTGTGGGGCCCACGTTCTTCTTGTTCCGGCAGCTTTTACGAAGGTGACTGGTGGGGCCCACTGGGAGGTTCTGCTGCGAGCACGCGCAATCGAGACACAGTGCTACGTGATAGCGGCTGCACAGGGAGGAAAGCACAGTGAAGGCAGGGAAAGTTACGGGGATAGTATGATAATCGACCCGTGGGGAACAGTCGTGGGACGGTTGCCGGATAGGGTCTCGACTGGGATTGCAGTTGCGGATATTGATTTCTCGAGGATCGAGGAGGTTAGGTCGAGGATGCCGATTGGGGAACACAGGAAGGGGATTGAGTTCTGGAGTTCGGTATCGGCTTCGGCTTCTCTGTGAGTGTTGATGGAATTTCATTTGTTTGTATTGTGGATTATTTGTGGATTGTGGCTATGTTGTGGTAAAGAGTGTTATAAGCTAGTTTATAGCTTATTTGATTAGTTTATAAGCTTGATTTTTTTAAAATGCTCGAACTTATCTCATAAGCTTATATATTCAAATAAGCTTGGTTTTTTTAAAATCTTTTTAGCCAGGAGTCATATGCTATCAATTATGAGCTCGAAATTAATTTAAAAGCTATAAGCTAGTTCAGCAGAGTTGTTCAAAACATTCCAAGTTATGAATGTTATGAATTATATATGAAGATATGTTACATATACAGAAAGAGTAGATGAAATACAGACATCACAAAAAAATTAAACAAAAGATTACAGAAAACACAAGTGTGGTGAAGTTACATTTGTTGTGAAGCTAACACTTGGCTTCATAGTGTAACCAACTTTATATATATAATAAGTGAACCTACAATATTAATAAAATTATATTAGTGTTATTTAAGTATCAAATAATGTGGTAGGCTTACTTGTTGTATATAGAAGGTTGGCTCTACTATAAAGTCAACTGTTGGTTTCATAGTAAAACGTAACTTTTTGTACCTTTAACCAACATATCTTATTCGCAGCATTCAATTCAACGAATAAACTATGCCATTTTGTTTATTCAGCTTATGAAATGTCAGAATTTCTATTATATTGTTTTTCAAAGTATTTTATAATAAAAATAAGTATATTAAAATGCTTATTTAGATTATGAAATGTCAAAACTTCTATTATATTGTTTTTCAAAGTACTTTATAATAAAAATAAGTATATTTATTTGTGAATATAATACGAGGTAGTTAAAGGTTAAGTCGGTCTAAAGGGTTGGTGTTACAAACTATCAATATGTGTTTTGTTTATAAATAAATCCATTACATATTCAAAATTTAATTTAAGTTTAACCAAATCTCATTATATTCGATATTATCACTATAATTAAATAATATTGATTAATTATTTTTACATATCACACTAATTTTAGTCTACTATACATGTACTAACACTATAATTAAATAATATTGATTAATTATTTTTACATATCACACTAATTTTAGTCTACTATACATGTACTAACGTAACTATAACTAATTATCACTTCACATTATCTATCTCTTACTTGTATATCAAATTAATTTTAATTATTTTATTTCAAATATTATTTTAATATAAACTCAAAATTTCACTAGCAACTGATCATACAACTTTTTTTCAAAAATAACTCTAATCAACCCAGAAAGCTCATTTTGAGCGAATATATTTGTATCGAACCCCAGTGGCGAAACTATGTTGGGGTCGGGAGAGGCGCCGGCCCCTCCAAAAAAAAAAAAAAAAAATTAAACTAGGGGTGGAGGATTTTGCTGGAATTGGAAGATTTTCCTTTGAGCGTGCACGTTGGGCCCTCCCCGGTTTCATGCGGTACATACATGGCCGGAGGGGCGCCACCAATTTTGTCGTGAAATATTTTTTTAAAGGCAAATTGGGCCTGCCCGAAACGGGATCCTGGTTTCGGGACAAGTATAACAGCAGCAGAATTTAATCATTTTTTCATTTTTATTATATTTTGAGTTGGTTAATTAGCCGACTTGCGGTGTACCGACGGGACTCAAAAACCGAGTCGATCATTACCGAAAAATACTTTTATGAAAGTACGGGAAGCGGAGAGTGCGTTGGTGGCGTCGCTTTATGATTTTGAGGTCCCGACCATTTATTTTGGGTAGCCCGAAGTTGATAGAAAAATGGTAGTGGCGGTGACTTTATTGTCATTTTCATGTCTAGACTTCGGGTAACCGTCGGCCCTCGTTAGGCGTTTTGAAACTTAGCGGGAGTGTTTTCTTGAAAGCACGAGAACAGTTCGTAAAATTTATTTCACGTTTCGAAGTTTCGAGCATCTATTTTGAGAAGCGCGAAGTCGAGTGCGCATAATAGAAGAATAAAAAACCGTTTTGCGGGGTTCCGTAAGGTTGCGTGTGACCTCGGTTTAACGAGAATCGAGTTGGAGCGTGTAGACAATTCAAGCATGATTTCATACGGATAAATTTCGCATTTTTCGGAGTTCCGAGCATTTATTACGAGAGTTTCAATTTCTGCATTAAATAGTATCAAAATGAGCAAATTTGTCGAGGACGAGTTCGATCGTTCGAGGCTTCGTTTTCTCAAATTTTTCAGCTTTTCGTCTATTCGAAAGGAGGTATTTATTATTATAATTGAGTCCGAGATTTTTATTAGTATAAATTCGAGTATTTTTCAAGTTAAAACAATTCAGTTTAAGTATACCAGTTTAAGTCCGGACTTAGTTTGATTTTTAGAAAAATCTCTAGAGTATTCCTTTATATTTTGCGAAAATTTTTGAGAGCGTCCACAAAAGCCCTTTGAGCGCCCTTCCGATGCCGGATTGGGGGTGGTGCGCCGCGGGATGGCCGGAGTGGGGGTGGTGCGCCGCGGCAAATTGGGCCCTCTCCGGAATGACCGGCTGGTTTCGCCACGAACCCCTCCTTAATATTTAGACTATTATAATTTCTAAGAGAATTTATGTATATTTTTTATATATATAAGTTATATATTTATTAAAAATAAATTAAAAAAATATATATTATTAAAAAAAACCCCACCAAATCAATCAACCTAGGGTGTGTTTGACACGTATAATAAGCTAGCTTATAGCTTATTTGGTTAGCTTATAAGCTTTCTGTATCAAATAAGCCTCGTTTGGTAGGACGAGCTTATTTAAAAAGCT